AGCCCCTGCCAGCAGCGCTCTCCCGTCGATGGCCCCAGCGCGGCCGGATTCTCGGCTTCCCGGCAGGAATGTGCCGGGGGAGTCCAGCCCCCCGCCCGCCGGGGCCGTTTCCTCTTTCGGCGCTATTTAAGCGGCGCCCGGCGCGTCCCACCCGGGCGGGCCATGGATCGCATGGAAGTGACCGAGACCTTCGCGGGCATCACCCTGCCCGGCCACCTCCACACCCAGGAGTCCCTCGGCTTCGCCGCCGCCTTCACCTTCCGCCCCACCGACGTGCTCATCGCCACCTACCCCAAATCGGGTGAGGGGCGGGGGGGCATGCAGACGGCGCTGGGGACCTCCGGCTGGAGGGTGGGCGCGGGCCGGGCTCCACCGGCGGGGCTGGGAGGGGGCTGGGCTCGGGGACACCCGGACCACTGGCACAGCGTGGGGACCCCTGGCCAGTGGCTCCCGCCCCCCCTGTGCTGCTGCCCCACACTGTTCCACCCCCAGAGTGGTGTCTCTGTGGGGAACTAGGGGGGCCATATGATACTGCCATTCCAGCTGCTGCCCCGGCACGAGCTGAGCTGTGATGGGACAGGATAGTTTGGGATGGGACTGGCCAGGATGGGACAGGACAGGACAGGTTGAGCTGAACCATTCCATGCCAAGCCAAGTTGTGCCGATCTGCTCCACAGCATGCTGTGCCATCCAATGGCACGTGCCATTGCAGTGCCATGCTGTGCTGAGCCATGCCATTCCATGCCATGCCGTGGTGCCATGCCATGCACTGCCCTATGCTGAGCTAGCCCTGCCCTGACTCCCACCTCCACAGGCACCACCTGGATGCAGGAGATCCTGACACTGATGTTCAGCCTTGGGGATGCCCGCCCAGCCAAGACCATTCCCAACTGGGAGCGGGCTCCCTGGCTGGAGCAGATCTACTGCCGGGAGGCTCTGCGGGACACAGAGACCCCCCGGCTGCTCACCACCCACATGCCCGCCCACGTCCTGGCCCCTGCCCTGCAGCGCAGCAAGGCCAAGGTGAGAGGGAGACAGATGGTCTGGGGGGATCCCTGATGGCCTGGGGGGGTCCCCTCAGGGATATCCTGAACCCATGGGGCTTCCCACAGCTGGGGAAATGGCAGGAGCTTTCTGAGCCGGGTGGAGCAGAATCCTCCCAGCCGTGGGGGTGACACTGTGTCCCCCCCAGGTGATCTATGTGGCCAGGAACCCCAAGGATGTCGCTGTCTCCTTCTACCACTTCCACCACCTGGCCAAGTTCCTACCTGACCCTGGCTCCTTTGATGCCTTCCTCACGCAGTTTCTCGAGGGCACAGGTAAGGGCTGGGGGTGTCCCTGACAGGGGGGACTCAGCCTCAGGGCCCCCCATCACTCCCTGCCTTCCCCCCAGTGCACTACGGCTCCTGGTTTGACCACGTCAAGGGCTGGCTGGGCCAGCGGCACCTCCTGGACATCCTCTACGTCACCTACGAGGAGCTGCACCAGGTGAGCCCTGCAGTGTCCCCATCCCTGTCCCCATCCCCACCGGTGCCCAGCGCTGACCATGCCCTTGCCCCAGGACCTGTGTGGCACAGCACAGCGCCTCAGCACCTTCCTGGGGTGCCCACTGGCCCCGGGAACGCTGGCAGCCCTGGAGCAGCACTGCAGCTTTGCCGCCATGCGGGACAATGCCATGGCCAACTACTCCCTCATCCCCCCTGAGATCATGGACCACAGCCAGGGCCGCTTCATGCGCAAAGGTGAGGGGGTAGGGGCTGGGGGGATACGGGCAGTACGGGGGCAACATCCCTGACTCCCTCTGCCCTCCGTCCGCAGGTGTGGTCGGCGACTGGCGCGACCACTTCTCCCCCCAGCAAAATGCCCTCTTTAACCAGCGCTACCAGGAGGAGATGGGGGATGTGGAGCTGCCCACGCAGTGGCCCATGGCCTGAGGGACCTGGGGGGACACTCACCCCAACCTGCTGAGAATCATTGCAGCGGGAGCACTCTGCATAGGCACCCCTTGGCACCTCACAACTCACCTCCAGATGTCACCTGGGGCAAGGGGTTCCCACGGGGCTGGGGGATGTGGCACTGTGCCACCTCCCTGGGGATGGGGGACTTTTCCAGCTGTGCACTGTGGCTCTCCCTGTGGCCTCACTCCCCCCAGGCAGGGGCACATGGCCGTGACCCCTCTTTCCGCCTATCCTGCCCTGCGGAAATAAATATTTATTGCCGTTCCCAGGCAGGCTGTGTGTTCCCACAGGCGTCAGGCGGGAAGCGGGAAGCCTTGGAGTTATCAGGGACACATCGGGGTGGGGACCCTTCCTTTGGGACCTTATCAGCAACCAGGAGCAATGGCCGGGCAGCCAGCGGGGCTGTGGCAGGGTGCCAGGCTCGTGGGGGGTGCTGGGCTCTGTGGGGGGTCATAGCAGGGTGACAGGTTTTGCCAGCGGAGCCCAGGGCACAGAGCCAGCTCTTTCAGCAGCACCCAGGGTCCCCCACCCCTGGAGTCTCCCTGCCCCAGGGCAGCCCCTCCCAATGCCACCTGCACACCAACATCTGCTCACCTTGCCCCAGTGCACCCCTCCCCAGTGCCCTCTGCACCCCAATGCCCCTACCCTGCTCCAGTGCACCCCTTCCTGGTGCCCTCTGCACTCTGATGTCCCCACCCTGCCCCAGCACAACCCGTCCAGATGCCCCCTGCACCCCAACATTCCCCCATCCCGCTCCAGTGCACCCCTCCCAGTGTTCCTTCCACCCCAGTTCCCCCTGCCCCCTAATACACCCCATCCTGCCTCAGTGCATCCCCTCCCCTGGAGCCCCCTGCACCCCACTGCCTCCACCCCGCCCCAGTACACCCCTTCCTGACCCCTGCACCCCAATGCCCCCTGATGTCCCCCATCCTGCCCCAGGCTCTCCCCAGTGCTTTGGGAGGTGGCCACAGTGTCCTGACCATCCTGTTTGCATGCTCCCCCTGCCCATCTCCCCTCCTGGGGTATTTGCACCTGGGAGCTTGTTTCCCCTCCCCCCCTCCCCCACCTCAGCGCTCTGGGGTGCCCCAGGAAGGCAGGACACCTCCCGGCCCCTCTCCTACCACGCCCCAAGGAATTGCCTTGTGGAGTGCAGGTACTGTCAATAATTACCCAGCTTCATTATCCAGCCCCTGCAGGGTGAGCACAGGGCCAGGGTGAGGGGTGTGGGGGCTTGACCCTGGCACCACCAGAGCCCCTGGCCAGGGCTTGGCTGAGAGGGGGGAGGTGGTGAGACTCTCTCTGGGGTCTGCAGCACTGTGGGACAGTGACATTCGTGTCCTCCCACTCCTGCTCTGCCACTCTTGTCACCCCCACCAGCTCTGCCAACTCTGTCATTCCTGCCACACCTGTATCCCTGCCAGCCCTGCCACCCCCCCACCCCCCCACTCCTGTCAGCATTGTCACCCCTGCCACCCCTCCCAGCCCCTCTGCGCTGCCAGTGGGTACAGCTTGACACGGTGACTCTGGACACCCCCAGCACCACGGGGTCTCCCTGCACCCGCCCTGGGGCACTCATCTATCCCCATGGACTGGGGTGCCAGGGCAGCCCCCTGCCCGTACCAGGGCCAGCGAGTGCTGCAGCCTCCCAGGCAGCACGTTTGGGTTTCCATGGCAACATCCAGGATCCCACTTTATGGGAAATGAATCAGGAGCTATATATAGGCATTCAATGGGGGTGCAGGCAGTGTGCCCTGTCTGTGCCCTGTCTGTGTCCTGCACTGGTGGCAGTGTCCAAGGGCCAGCGGGGCCACCCCACTGAATGTCTGCCCACACAGGGACAGTCTGGCACCCGTGCCCTCACTCAGGGTGATGGCAGCATCCCAGAGCCCAGCTCAGTGCCACTCCCAAGGCTGGGTCTGGGATGGCCCCTGCCCCGCTGTGCCAGGCCCCAGTTTCAGTCCCTGTGGTGAGCTTGGTCACACCCTGCCCCAGGAGATGTCACCTCCCCAGGAGCATCTGCTGGCACAGGACTGGCATCAGCAGCGCACAGCACGTGGTAGCAGTGTGGCACAGTGCCCGGCACATGGCACAGCATGGTGTGTGGCACATGGAACGTGGCACATGACAAATAACACATGGCACGACATGCAGCACACAGCATGTGGCACATGACAATGCACATGGCACATGGAACACAGCACATGGCATACAGGATACAGCACATGGCACATGGGATACAGCACATGGCACATGGGACAGACACATGGGGCATGCAACACTGCATGACACATGCCACGGAGCACATGGCACACAGGACATGACACATGGCACACAGCATGTGGTGCATGGCATGTGCCACACAGCACATGGCACACAGCATGTGGCACATGATGCATGACACATGGGACACAGCATGTAGCCCATGGGACATGACACATTACAGCACATGTCACAAGGTACAGGCACGGGATGCATGGCCCATGGCACACATCATATGGTTGCGTGGCACAGGATACAAGGACACAGCACGTGGCACATGACACACCACAGGTCACGTGGCACACAGCACACAACACATGGTACATGACACTCAGCAGGCATCACATAGCATGTGTCACAAGGTACATGGACATGGTGCACAGCCCATGGCACACATCATACAGCACATGGCACGTGCCGTGTGACTCACAGCACACAGCACGTGGCAGTGGCCATGTGCAGGGCAGCAGGGCCGGCTCCGTTGCCACCTCCCTCAACTCCATGCCCTGGATTCAGGGCTGTGGCTCAGCAGGGGAGAGCCCACTCCAGCACATGAAAGCGGCGGCTGCTCCAGCGCTCAGAGGTCTGGTGCTCCCAGCACACTGCCGGCTATAGACACCCAAAGTGTGGGGGCAGCAGGGCTGGGGGATGCCCTTGGCTCTTGTCACCAGCCAGGGTGGTGTGGTATCACCACGAGGGGACACAGACAGCACCCAGGATCTGCCAGTCCCTCTGCCCACCCCCTCCTAACCCCCAGGGAGGGTGGCACCCAAAGAGCATGAGGATGGGCACAGGGGTCTTGCTTTATTGTGGGAGTCATGCAGCCTCCAAACATCATAGTGACAGAGAAGCGGGGACCAAGAGGACCAAGGGGACAGTAGGGATGGAGTGGGAACAGGCTGCAGGGCACAGAACTCCAGAAGTGGGCAGTGCCTGCTGGGGACCCCGGAGCAGTGCAGAGGGTGTCCAGCACCAGGGGGCCGGGACCTACCCCGTGTCCCAGCCGAGGGGGCTGTGGCAGGGCTGGGACTCACGGGGACCCCGTCTGTCCCTGTGCCACACCGGGGGGAGCAGGGGATCCTCACTGGGGGTAGCCAAGACTGGGGTCGGGGGTCCCTCACTGAGGCGACCCAGTGCTGGGGCTGAGGGCACTGGGGATCTCTAACTAGGGGAGCTGAAGGTGGAGTGGGGGCTGGGAGTTCCTCACTGGGGGAAACTGAGGCTGGGTTGGGGGCAGTGAGGGTCTCTCACTGCGGGGAGCCAAGGCTGGAGTCGGGGGTGGGGGGCCGGGGGCAGCGCGGGGGGAACGCCTTGTAGCTGTAGTACTCCACCACCTGCTTGGGCACCTCTGCCAGCACGCACTTCGCCAGGGCTGTGGGTGACGCCTGCGGGACACCGGGACACCGCGGGACACCAGGGTGAGCCGGGGCCACTGCGACACCTGCCCGCCCTGCCGTGCGGAGCAGCACCCGTGGGCACCGGCTCCCTGTGCCAGGATGTAGGAACGAGAGGGGACCGGAGGGGATGGAAGGGACGGGAAGGAACCGGGGAGGACCAAAGGAAACAGAAGGGACAGATAGGGACGAGGGGGACGGGAGGGGAGGAGAGTGGATGGGAGGGGACGGGGGCGGGACGTGAGGGAACGGGGAGGGACAGGAGGGGAACGGGAGAGGAGTAAAAGGGACCGGAGGGGACGGGAAGGGGCAGGAGAGAACTAGAGGGCATGAGAAGAGCTGGGAGGGGCCGGCAGGACCCCCGCCTGCCCCACTCACGTTCTTGAACTCGCGGAAGGGCACGAACTGGACGATGTCGCGCAGGACGGGCTCGCCCTTGGGGGAGCGCAGGACACCGTCGTCGCCGTCCAGGATCTGCATGTCGGTGAAGTCGGCGTTGCCTACCCCGACGATGATGATGGACATGGGCAGGTAGGAGGCCCGGACAATGGCCTCCCGCGTGTCTGCCATGTCTGTCACCACCCCGTCCGTCAGGATCAGCAGGATGAAGTATTGCTGGGGGGGATAGGGAGATGCTCTGGGGGAGCTGCCCGGCCCCACACGGGAGCACCTACAAGTGTCACGAGCCTGTGGGGGTCTCAGCCCAACCTGGTGCCCCAGTGGGACCCACCGATGCTTCCTTGGTCCGCTCCTCATTGGCCGCCACACGAGCCACCTTGGTGATGATGGGAGCCACGTTGGTGGGGCCGTAGAGCTGGATTTTCGGCAGGCAGCTCTGATAGGACTCCACAACACCCTGGATGCCTGCGGGGGTGTGAGAAGTGAGAAGGGACACCCTGGCCATGGACTGGACCCTGCTAGAGCTGGACTTACCCTCACACTCATCGTTGTCAGGGTTGAAGTTGATGGCGAAGTCGTGGGAAACCTGGAGGGCAGGAGGGGAGGGGGGAGCTAGTGCCCCCCCCCCCCCCGCTGAGCCTCACAAGTGCCAGGGCCTGGGGTGTCTGGAGGGATGAGCACATCCCTGGAGTCCCACAGGACCCTGGCGCTCCGACCACCTCTCACCTCATACTTGGGGGGGATCCTGGCACCAAAGCCCAGAGCTGAGAATTTCTTATCGCTGCAAGGGAAGGGGTGTGAGGAGCTCTGGTGCCATCACCAGGGCATCTGACCCCAGGGTGGCCATCACCATGGTGTCTGGCCCTGGGGAACCCACCAGAGCGACCAACCTGTCATAGTCCTGGCAGATCTCACCCACAGCAACCAGCGCCTTGAGGTACTCGTTGGGCTGGTAGGGGTTGATGTAGTGCAGGGAGCAGCTGTTTCGGGGGTCCCCATTGGAGGCTGTGAAGTCGATGGCAACCTGGGGTAGAGGGGGGGCAGTGAGGGTTCCCCCAGGGAGAGCCGAGCCACCAGCGTGTCCCTGCTGGGTGGTGTGGGGGACTCTGCTCACCGTGAAGTGGATCTGGCAGCCACCCATGATGTAGTCCAGGAAGGAGTAGACCCTGTGGATCTTCCAGAGGGACTCGCATCAGCTGGTCCTGCCCCACATTGGCCCACGGAGCCAGGCATGGCTTGGCTCAGCATGGCTTGGCACGGAATGCAGGCACTCACCTTCAGGTCCAGCAACACCACGACCCCCGAGTTCTTGTAGTTGCGCTTCTTGATCTTGTACTTGGGGTTCATGCAGTCCCACTGCACCTGCGGCACACGCGGCACCCGCGCTGGGCCCCGACCCTGGGACCCCCATCCCTGACACCCCTCAGGCCCCCCGTCCCATGTCTCTGCATAATGGTGACCCAACAACCCTATAACATTGCGGCCCCATAACCCTCCAGCCCCCCATGGCTCTGCAGCACAATGACTCCACAATCCCAGAACATTGTGGCCCCATAAAAACACAGCCTCACAGCTCCATATCTCTGCAGCACAGTGATCCCTCAACCCTGAAGCACCATAACCCTGCCTCCCTGCAGCCCCTCAGTCCCACAATGCTCCAGCCTCATGGTGCCATGACCCACAGCCCCATAGTTCTATAACCTCATAACCCCACAGCCCCATAACCCTGCAACCCCACAGCCCCAGGTTGCAGCTGCCTTCCCCCACTCCCAGCCACCCCCTGGGCTCCAGCCACCTCATTCATGGCTGATTCCCCAGAGGACCCCAAACCCACCATCCCTTCCCCAAAGAGGTGGGCAGCAGCAAGGAGAGAATGACCCCAAACCCAGAGGAGGTGCTGGGAGGTGCCTGCTGGGATGGGCTCTGCTGACAGCATACAGGAGTGACCCCCAGGCTATCCCTGTGTTTCCATGTCCCACCTTGTTCTCCCCCATCGCCTTCTGCATCTCCTCAAAGGTGGTGAAGAACTCCCCGATGAAGTCGTGTTTGCCCCGTGAATCGTAGTCCCATACCACACCCTGCAGTTGGCACGGCTTAGCCCCAGCACCAGGGGGTCCCCAGCACTGAAGGGTCCCCAGCACCACCCCTGGCACCGGGGGTCCCTAGCACATCTCTGGAGAAGCCAGGGTACAGCTACCTCCGGGGAAGTGATGGGGGTCCCCATCTCCCTTCCTCACCCTCAGCTTCCTCTTCTCCTCACAGCTGCAGAGTGAGTTGAGAGACACCTTGAAGGGCTCCCAGACAGGGCTCAGGTTGTTCTTCACCACCTGTGGGACAGGGAGCTCAGCAGGGCTGGGGAGGCCCCAGGGTGGCTGTGGGGCAGCCAAGGGACGGGCCCTCTGGGGCCTCACCTCAGTGCGGTACACGAGCTGCTCGCTGCGGTCGTCGTCGATGCGGTAGATCTCCAGGAAGGGATCTGACTTGCTGAAGAGGTCCTGGAGGAAGAGGAGGGGACAGAGCACTGCCTACCCTGCCCGCCCTGCCCCATGTTCCTCCTGGCACCTGGCTTACCTTGTCATCCAGTTTCTTGGCACGGAAGGCGAGCTCCACGTAGCCATTGTTCCCTGAAATCTCCTCAGAGATGATCTGCGAAGAGAGGCAGCCGCAGGGTGCTCAGTGTCTGGCACGGCTTTGTCCCCTGCCCCCCTGCCCCCCACCTCCCTGTGGTGCCCCAGGAGGAGACAGGGTGCCACGTGCCTTCCCTGGGGCAGCAGGACCCCCCCATAGCCAGCAGATGCCAACAGGGACTCTGAGCCCTCCTCACTCCCAAGAGCCCGAGGGGCTGCAGGGCTGGATGGCAGCTCAGACAGGAGGAGGGGCACTGGGGACCCTCCATACGCCCCAGCTCAATGGCACCCACAGCCCAGTGACAGCCCACTGATCCAGCCCAGATGTCCCAGCTTGATGCCTTCCCAGCATCCCAGTCCAGTGCCACCCATGTGTCCTGTCTGGTGTCACCCTAGGGTTCCAGGTTAGTGTCACCTCAGGGTCCCAGTCCCTTGTCAGCTGTGCACCCCATCCCAATGCCACTCCAATGCCCCAGCTTGGTGCCACCCCAGAATCCCAGCTTGGTACCACCCAGGGTCCCAGCCTGGTATCTCTCCAGTGCCCCTGCTCAGTGCCACACCACTGTCCCCCCCCAGTACCACCCCCAACCCAGGCTCGGTACTCACCGTGATCGTGGACTTGCCTGCGAACTTCCCGTACTTGAGGAACAGCGGCTTCGTCACCCGTTTCTGCGCCACGATCTGCGAGAGCCCAGGGTCGGGGAGGGGACACCATGGAGGGGGTCCCCGGGTGGGGGTCCCTGGGCTCACCTGCCCCACAGTGCACTCCATGCCCCCCAGGAAGTCATCGTCGTGCGTGCCCACGCCAGCGTGGCCATGGCTGTCGTACACCTCGAACCGCAGCTTCTGTACCTCCTCGAAGTAGTAATCGACCGTGAAGATCTTGGCAAACACGGGGTTCAGGTTGCTCTTGATCACCTCGCTGCGATCCACCTGCATGGGAATGGTGCTGGGCCGGGGCTGGGATGGGCACAGCTGGAGTTGCCCGGGCCTTGAGGTGCCGGAGCTCACATCCAGCTGGGAATAGGGATGTGGGAGCCCAGGGGGAATGGGGGTGTAGGAAGGTAGGGATGGGAGATGAGGAATGGGGGCTGCTGGAGTGGAGGATGAAGGGAGGAGGGTGCTGGGATGGTGGATACAGGGGTGAAGGATGAAAGGATGTGGGATACAGGGATGGGGGGTGCTCAGACGGGGGATAAAAAATTAGGGAATGAAGCGATGGGAGGTGCAGGGATGAAGGATGGTGGGATGAGAATGCAGGGACAGGGAATACAAGGATGGGGGAAGAAGGGATGGGGTGTGCCAGGAAGGACCAGCCATGCCTAGGCATTTCCCCACGCCCAAGTGAATGGCATTTGGAGGAGCCCCATGTGCCCTCATGGGTTCCAGCCCTGCCAGCCCCAGGTCCTGCGATCTCCCCTCTCTCCAGACTCCCCATGGTCATCCTAGGGGTACACTAGCTCTGACTACACTTTGCCACGGCTCCACTGGAGCAGAAGTAGAGTGCTGGTGTCAGGATGAGCCCCTGTGTCCCCACCCTGCGGTGGCCATGGCTGGGGGTCACCAACCCACAGCCCCGGTGGGTGCTCAGCATGTCCCATCCGTGCTTGGCAGCAGGTGCTGAGCAGTTCCAGAGCCTCCCCCACACCCATCCCTGTCAGTGTTGACTCAATGGGACACATCCTGGACAGGGAACTCGGCCAGCCCCTGGCCCCTGCCCACCACCTCTCCAATCTGGCAACATCTGCTGAACCTGCACCACTGCCACACTGCCAGGGCCACCCATGTCCCTCCTGTGTGGGCACTGCCACACCCTCACCCTGGGGAGATGGGTTTCGGGCACCCTGAACCCTCCAGCACCAGCTGCTGCCAGAGGGTCCGGGGCTGTCTCAGTACTCAGTGCCAGAGCCAGAGTCAGCCACACCTCGGCTGGGGGACACGGGTTGGCAGGGACAGGGAAGGAACAGGGCATGGAGTCCTGTCACCTTTTGTAGGATGTATGGCACAGCACAGCATCGCGTGGCATAGCATGGCACGGCACACGGAGTGTGGCACGGTGGGGTACAAGGGTCTGGCACCGCATACACACGGCAGCTGGCACGGGGCCACTGTGCCGCCCCGGCCCCTCGCTGGCTCGAGCGGAGTCGATGACACGCCGAGGGATTTAGCGCTAAATCCTCCGGCTGAGCGGCCGCGATTAGAGCGGAGCTGCGGGCACCAGCCAGAGCTCGGCGTGGGGAGAGAGGGAAGAAGCTGTGCCAGCCCCAGCGCCATCCCAGTGTCTGCCAACCCCAGTGCCAGCCTCAACACCAGCCGTGGCTCATGGGGTGACCAGGGATCCCCACAGCACAGCTCACGGCTGCGGTGCCAGCTCTGACTCCCTCTGAGCTGCCTGCCCCACACAGGATGACACCAGCCCACCAGCCCTGAGCCACCCCAGGGATGGCCGTGGTGGCCCTTGTCCCTGTCCCAGGGCAGTGGAGCTGTGCTGGAGCCACCGTGGGCACCCCACCCCAGCCCTCTCCCCAGCCCTGCCACAGCTCTGGAGGGCTGGATCTGACCTGGTGTCAGCACTGACCCCGTGGGTTCCTGGGTGCCCCACAGTGCCTTGCCCTGCCCTGCCCTGTGAGCCTCATGCTCTGTGCCCTGGTCTGTGCTCTGCGCCTTGTACCCCTCGCTGAGCTCTGCACTGTGCATCCAGCAGCCTCTGTGTGCATCCTGCACCCTGTTCTGCACCCTGGTCTGAACCCTGCACCCTGCTCTGCACCTTGCACCTCATTCTGCACTCTGGTCTGAACCCTGCACCCCATTCTGCACCCAGCACCCTGTTCTGTACCCTACACCCAATTCTGAACCCTGCACCCCATCCTGCATTATCTCCTGCACCCCACTCTGAACCCTGCATCCCACTCTGCACCTTATTCTGCTCCCTACTCTGCATTCTGCACCCAGCACCCTGCTCTGAACCCTGCACCCCATTCTGCACCCTGCCGTGCACCCTGTGCCCCGTTCTTCACTATCTCCTGTACTCTGCTATGGACCCTGCACCCTGGTCTGCACCCTCTACCCAATTCTCCATTATCTCCAGCACCCTGCTCTGCACTCTGTACTCCGCTCCCCACCATCTCCTGCACCCCACTCTGCAGCCCCCCATGCCCATCACCCTGTGTCCAGCACCCACCCACGTGCACCCATCACCCCGTGCCCAGCACCATCATTTCCCTGGTGCCTGCCCTACCCACTGTGGGGGGTGCTGGTAGTGCCCCCCATGCTCCTACCTCCATCCACTGGCCCTGGGACTGCATCAGGAGCAGGACGCAGGGGTCTGACTTGTTGAGGGTGTCTCGGTCCAGGAGGTGTTTACAGCTGACCCGCAGCTCCACCTTGGAGAGTACGGCCAGCGGGGCCTGCGAACACAGCTCGGGCACAGCACCCATGCCAGCTGGGGCACGGGGGGCAGCCGGCCGGGCCGGGGGGCACGCAGCCCCGTGGGCGAATGGCATCAGGGCCGAGGGCGGCCGCTGCCTTCAGTGCCGTCAGGGGGCTGGGCAGGTGATCGTCATGCCCGGGGCTTGGTGCCCCGCGGTGTCAGGGAGGTTCCTGGGGGCAGCACAGGGGTGGGGTGCTCCGGGGGTTGGAGGGACCCCACAACCTCCTCTGGGGCAGGGTGGCTGGGTCCAGTCAGGATGGCTCCGTGGGACCCTACAAGGCATCAAAGCACAGTGGGGTGAACAGGACCTGGGGCACTCTCATGATGCTGCCCATGTACCCTCAAGTGCCAGCCAGACCTATGGGCTCTACTGTGGGGGGTTCACCCTCCAGCTCCTTGGGCTGACCAAGGGTCCCACAGGGCCATTCTTGGCTCTGCCCCAGCCCCACCCCAGGGACAGAATGTGTCCTGTGGGGAAGTGGGACCTGAGTGGGGTTGGGTGGCTGTGCAGGACTGGGGTTGTGCGGGCAGCCCTGGGTACCCACTTTGGGGTGCCTTGAGTGGAGCTGGGGAGCAGAAACACCCCCCTGTCCTTTCAGGCAGCAACCCCCAGCCTGGACAGGGCTCTCTGGGAGGGCAGCGGGGACACCAGCTCAGTGTCCCTGTCGCCAGATGATGGATCCCTCTGAGGCTGGTGACACCTAGCCAGGTGATGCTGCATGACAGGGCATAGAGGGGCTCTGCTGGTCCCAGCCCAGGCTTGTCCCCCACCTGCAGCCCCAGGGGTGGTTGACTGGGGCAGGGGCAGGTGCAGAGCAGCCCCTTGCCCACCTCTGCCCCCACATGCCCAGCCCGGCCAAAGTTTCCTGATGCAGTCATGCATTGCCCAGGCCCTCCCTGGCACTTGGCTCTGGTGCCCCCAGCTCCGGGGGGCATCATCCCTCTCCAAGGATCGCAGGCACTCCTTGGCATCCATTGCCCAGCGGAGGGGGCACCAGGTCCCACCCTGCCCATCGTTCCCCTCACCTGGGTGCTGGTGGCCTGGGCTCTGCAGGCGGTCGGGCAAGGGCTGGGGTCGGTGTGCCAAGGGGAGCCGGTGTGCCAGCCGTGCCGGTGTGCCAGCCGTGCCGGTGTGCCAGTCGGAGCTGCTGCCGTTGCCACCTCCACACAACTGACTCAAGCTGCAGTTTGGGAGCGGAGCCCTAAGAGGGAGATGGATGACAAGCTCTGTTAACTGCCTCGCTGCCAGCACCAGAGCGGAGCCCACCCATGGGCACTGGCGCTGAGTTGGGTTCCCAGGGTCCCCGGTATTGCTGGCCGTGCCAAGGTAAGTGCTCCTACTCCAGGTGAGACCCCTGTGGCACAGACACAGCCCCTTGCCCTCCCCAGCTGCTCCCTGTGGGGTACCAAAGGCCATCCTGGTCCCAGCCCTCTACATTCTAAGCCAAGACCCCAAGCACAAGGGTGGGGTGCCCCAAACCCACCGGGTGCCCTCCCCACATGCTGGAGCACCCAGACCCACATTCCATGCACATGGAGTCCCACCTGCCCCATTCCCAGCCTGAGACCCCCACCCACCCCTGTCCCCCCAGTGCTGCGGCACTGTCAGCTCAGCTTTATGAAAGATGATGTAATTAGCCCAAATTTGGAGGGATTAAAATGCAGATAGGGCTAATGAGCAGCAGGGCACTGCAGGGCCGGGACTTCAGGAGCTAATCCCCAGTCTGCCTGGCAGAAATAGGCCATTCTCTCTCCCACTTCCCCCCCAGCCCCTGGCACAGCCCAGGAGGGCAGGAGGCACCAGACACACAGTGGGACATGAGGTCCAGGCAGAGGGGCTGTAGGTCCAAGCAACAGCTGGCACAGCACAGGCAGCACCACAACAGGCACCTCTTGACTGTGTTTGAGCAGCCCACAGGTCATCCAGGTGTGCCAGGGCTCCAGCATCGAGTGCTTCATCCCATCCCATCCCATCCCATCCCATCCCATCCCATCCCATCCCATCCCATCCCATCCCATCCCATCCCATCCCATCCCATCAATTCTCTCTCCAACCTGCTATGGCTGCACAATGGCCTCAGATGCAAGCGCTCCCAGAGCAGTTCCAATCCCACTGACACATCCTGGTGACCCATCAGCCTCCCACACTGGGACAGGCAGAACCTGGGACCCCCAACAGCAAAAAGGATGGGCCAGAGCCACCCAACCCTTCTCCTGGGCTTCTCTGATGCCACTTGACTGAGGGATCACAGAACTGCTTGTGTTGAAAAAGCCTCCAAGATCAGAGTCCCACCTGCTCCCCAGCACTGCTGAGGCCACAACAAACCATGTCTCCAAGTGCCACATCTACCATGGAATGGCCTTTAAGCCATGAAGAAATGGATGAAGGGTCCTCAGAACAGCTGGGGCTGAGCTGAGGGCCAGGCAGGGCAGCACAGTCCAGCCCTGAGATTCTGCTCCGTAGAAGCCCAGCTTAGGGGCTGCAACACATCTTACTCCCCCTTGTGCCCCTTAAAAAGCAGGGAAGTCCCCTCCCATGTGGGCAGCACTGCCCAGCACCCACCACGACACCCCACCTTCTAGAGTTCTGCCTCATACGGAGGCATGGAAACCATTAAACCTGGAATACTGGCACAGAAGGGGGAGCAGACAAAGCTTGGCACAGAGGGGGTACCCCCAAAGCCCTTTAAAGTCAGAGCAGGAGGGAGCCCAGACTGCAGCTCTGACATAAGGCAGAGGAGTGGGCACAAGGCAAGTGTTTCACAAGCTTTTGGAGAACTTTGAAGACTCCAAGCACAGCAAATGAGGTTTCCCACGCTTGAACACATCCCCGCACCGACACCGGCACAACTCCACTTGGTACATGTGCCCCAAAAACACAGCACACCCGTCTGTCTACGGCTTTTTATTGACAGTTCTGGGGAGAACAGTTCATTTCTTCTTCTCCACATCCTGCTCCGCTGCTTCCTTGGCGCGCTTGGCGCGGATGCCGAAGAGGCGGGCGTTGGCCCGGGCCATGCGCAGGCTGGCGAAGGCCTTGAAGTTCTTCTCGTCTTCTGAGATGACGCGGGCCTTCTCCCGCTTGAACACCTGGGGGAAAGAGGGAGTGCCAGACAGTCAGGCTGCACCTCGGGGAAGGAGCTGAGGCTTTGCACAGTGATCTCGGCGAGAAACAGAGCACTCGTGCCACCTACAGGCCCTGCCCTCGGCTGCTCCACCGGGAACAGCAGCACAGCCGCACCCGCACCGAGCACAACTGAGCAGGGGTGGAAACAAAGCACCACAGGAAACGTGAGTCAGGTTCACAGAATCACACGATTGTTCAGGTTGGAAAAGACTTTAAGAGCATTGAGTCCAACTGTCAGCTTGGCACTAGAAGCATGTTCACTACTAATCACGTCCTCAAGTGCAACATCCACGTGTTTATTGAACGCTTCCAGGGACAGGGACTCCACCACTGCCCCCACAGTCAGTTCTAACGCTTTATACCTTTTCCATGAAGAAATTTTCCCAATATTCAACCTGAACCTCCCCTGGCACAACTTGAGGTTGTTTCCTCTCATCCTGTGACTTTTTCCCTGGGAGCAGAGCCTGACCGCTGCCCAGCTCCACCCTCCTGTCAGGGAGTTCTAGGGAGCAAGTAGAGGTTTGTGGCATTACTGACAGCAGCTCTGGGAAGCACTGATGATTTACGGACAAATGCTGACCACAGAACCTGCCTGGGCACCCCTACCCCAGCTACAACCCAAAGTGCCCCCAATTTCACAGATTCTCTTGAAGGTTTATTCCTGTTTTTTTTTTTTTGATCCAGGAGGGGCAGTGTCCACAGACACAGTGCAACAGCAAGGAGAGAACCCTCTCCACAGAGTTCAATCACATTTAGGTCACAGAGAGAATATGATTTAATTACACTTACATTCTTGATGGGCATAACGGGTCCTGTGAGCTGAGTGGCCAATTTCAGTTCCTCTGGCTGCACAAGAAGACAGGAATGTTAGAAAATCAGAATTTAAACTTTCTCAGGTTAAAATCTCAGTTTAAAGCACAGCCTGTACACAGGTACCCAGCTTAAACACGGTGCTAACGATCCTGATGGAAGATTTAGCACCAAATGGTAATGAATCCATTTCATTTGGCACAGATGAGCTGCATCAACAGCCCACGTTGTGCTTGGATCCGGCCGGAGGAGCAGCGGCCTCTCAGCTCTGCCAGCTGGAAAAGCTTTGACACCAACTGTGTCATTTTCAGTGTGACACAGATTCACAGAATCATTAAGGTTGGAGAAGACCTCCAAGACCATCCAGTCCAACCTGTGACTGATCCCCACCTTGTCACCCAGCCCAGAGCACTGAGTGCCACATCCAGGCCTTCCTTAGACACCTCCAGGGATGGGGACTCCACCACCTCCCTGGGCAGACCCTTCCAATGCCTGACCACCCTTTCCAGAGGAAATTCCTCCTGATGTCCAACCTGAACCTCCCCTGGCACAGCTTGAGGCCATTTTCGTCTCATCCGGCCCCTTGTTCCCCGGGAGCAGAGCCCAACCCTCACCTGGCTCCACCCTCCTGCCAGGGAGTTATAGGGAGAGCAAGAAGGACCCCCCTGAGCCTCCTTTTCTCCAGGCTGAGTCCCCACAGCTCATTTATACCCAACACGCTCCTCAGCAACTCCTTCTAAGGCTGATTTCACCTTCTTGTAAAAGCGTGTCATCAGACAAAAATGGTTGAAAATTATTTTATGTAGTTAATTTCTAGCAAGCAAATCTGAAGCAGTATTTCAGATCAAAACCCTTCCTCCCTGCTCTGAAAAGGGAGGGATCCACTACAACTAAGCAGCTTGGAGCTGCCAGGCTCCCCAGAAGATCTGAGGACAGCCTGAGCACACCGCTGTGTTCCATGGCTCGCTCAAGCCCCGCGGGAAGCGTGAATCCACTGCCAGCAGAGCCAAGGAACACAGCTCTGCTCTGATCTCGGAGAGCTTTTAATGGAAAGCATTTTTGAATGTCAACAGCAACTGCCTTCTGGAGCCTGCCTGGCACGGAGCCACTCACAGAGCCTGTCCTTCACCCTTCCATACGGCTGGACAGAATTTTCAGGTGGAATTTTCAGCTACTCTTGACAATTTAGCTCCATAAACTAAAACTCAGTTGGCTGGGCAAGGACCAAAGCTCCAGGAATCTGCCCTAAACCAGGGCTGCAGCCCCTCAGCCAAATGTCTGACCCAGTATTACTGTGACCCAGAGAGCCCTGTTACACTCAACCCTGCCAGGCCAGGCCTTACGCTGGGCTCAGACCCACACTGCATCCAACGGCAGGGCTGCTCCCCTTGGGGTCACATCATGGAACAGGTTCAGCAGCTCTGCACACCGGGATAGAGGGATGGGATGACACTAAACCTCCCAAAGAGGGGCCGCAAACAGCCCCTGTGACATGATTCCAGCAGCCAGGTACTCACAGAGCTGTCTCCCTTCTTGGGCATGGCCGGCTTCCTTGGGAAGAGGATGAGCTTGGAGTGGTACTCCTTCAGCCTCTGCACGTTGGCCTGCAAGGACTCGGTGGACTTGTTCCGCCGCCGGGGATCCACGGAGATCCCGATCGTCCGCGCAAACTTCTTGTTGATGCCAGCGAGCTGAGGGGAGAGAGGGAGTGGTGTCAGCATGCCACAGCTCCCAAAAGCCAGGCAGGGCTCCAAACAGAGCCAGCATGGGACACAGGGTCTGGAGAAGGCTTGGCATGGCTAAAGGACCACCCACTTCACCACCAAAGGGTGTCCTGGTGTATCTTAATGCTTAAAATGTTCCCCAGACTTCGGTTTTTGCAGGTGGATTTTTCTCAGGAGAGCAAAGAGCAACCCCTGAGGGGGACATTTAAACTCAGAAACATACAGACAAGCATTTATGAAGTCAGGATATGGATAACTCTGGCTCACTGAATACCGTGAGCTCCATTAAATAACTATTTGTTTTAACCATCTTAAACAAGAAACTCGTTTTCTGTTAGAAGACAAACAGCTGTGTCCCTCTTTGTGTTCCACCATTACCCAAAAATTAAAGAAAAGTAAGTAATGAAGCATTTGGCACCCAGAAGAACAATTTTCCTGCCTCAGTGCACCAATTTCAGTTATAAATGTTTTAATTAGACACTGAACCAGCCGCAGAGGCAGCTGGTAGCTGCCAGCAAGAACTGATGTCACTCCTGCCCACCGCACAGATATGCAGTGGGGAGTCCCTGCAGACACTCTTTAACAGCTCAGCACACCTAGGCTGGTCCCAGGGACAATTTCCTGAAGGAATGAAGGGCAGGGAATACTTCTCAGAGAGTTTAAGTGTTTTTAAACCAAATATTGAACAAGAACAGCCCCAGCTACTCCTGGAGGCTGCACTGAACAGTCCTTCCTCCTGGTACAACATCCCCTGCTACTCTTATAAGTCAGCTGAGCTCAGTTTACTTGATCTGCAACAAGAACAGTTGGCCAAAATATTTAGGATTAGCAGAACAGTTATTTCATAAAGAAACAAAGTAATTTAATGAAGACCATAACCTTCTCCCTCCCTAAAAAAGT